GCCATGGCCCCCGCCATGTGGTATGCTCAAAATGAATTTCACTTGTCAATGTCTGATTTTCCTTCTCATGTGAAAATGGCTCTAGCTGATTGATGTCGACGTACTAGGTAGTGGTCATCTTCAATGTCACATGCGAAAGAATTTGCAATGAGCAGTTTCTTGTAGTGTGTGAGCAGACTTGGCTGTACTGTTTTGCAAACTGTTGGCAGTTTGTCAGTTATTTGGTGCAGTCATGGCATGTAGTCGCAATCTCTCAGTCAACTGTCTACCAACTGACAAGAACTGACCTTGTTCTTCACTATTGCCAAGTTTTTTATTCCTAATCAAGTCACCAACAGTATAACATCTGCAATGTGTGCAGAATCTGGTGTAGTTAGTTTGTTCAAATGCAACTGCCTGTAAGTTACCAGGTAACATTTATTAAACGTTATGGATATCTTTTTATTTTGCCTTTTCAATCCAAAAATGCAGCATGTTACTGGACCAGGAGCGCCTCCCATGGGCTTTGGTTCGTTTCATCAACAATATTTTCTCGACGGTAAGTCCTTGCTTGAAATAATGTAATCACAATCTTGGTAAATAAATTTATATATTGCGCATGTGTCATTTGTGTTGCTGACACTGCAGCAGTGGGCTACAGGAGACTATCAAAAGTTTGAAGTATATGAAACATCTCAAGACCGTTTTGTTGTGCATTTGATAACTGCTATGTTAAAGTAACTCAATATTGGGCGAACTACTGACACGCCAAGCAGAGCAAAACATGATTGGTTGGCTTTTGAGCAACAAATGAAACCCATTGGTTATTTGGTCCATGCAATGCTCCCAGCACCTTCTAACGGTTACTTTTTTTTTGTAATTCGCACTCGTTTACTACACTAATTGTGTCCTCAATGAGTGGTCTTGTTATGTCAAGTCGACATTCATTTCATGTTTTTTTTTCTTTGTGGCAGGTAAACTCATCGTAGTAGGAGTGATTGACATTCTTCCTCGTTGTGTGTCCTCAGTGTATCTCTTCTATGACCCTGATTATTCGTTTTTATCCCTTGGCGTCTATTCTGCTCTAAGGTAATCTTGATCTTCCTGTGCTTATCCACACTAACCATTTTACCAGCATGATGCGTATCACTCACTGCTTAAATGTATGAGTTATAAAGAAAGCCCTCGAAAACAGTTGTGGCTTCAATTCCAACATCACTGTTGCGATACCAGAACGTAAGCAACATTATTTCCAGCCAAACAGGTCCACAGCAAGTCGAGATACTATGACGGGAAAGTTGCGATGATATTACTGAACTCATTTTTAATGATTTTCGTAAGCTTCTAGGCCTCCGAGATCAACTTGCTTCATTTCCTTTTCAGGGAAATTCACTTTACTCGCTCACTTCAAAGAACCATTTCATCTATTCGGGATTATTATATGGGCTTCTACATCCACTCCTGTCCTAAAATGAGATATAAGGTATGTTTAGGTAAACTGGAAGGTGCTTAGTGTATGTCCGTTCTTTTACTCTACTTCTGTCAGCATCGTGCATGACTCGCGTGGATCTAAAGATTGCACATTCGGTCCACATGAATCGTATGGTTAGTGTCATTTTTACGGCATCAATTTCTCTTTTCCCTGGTTAAAAAGAAATCGTTTTGTTACCTCAGTATAGTACAAGAAGCATTGACTGTTCAGAATCCAAACAGCCTGGAGAAATTACAGTGACTGTCGAATGTTTTATGTAGTAAATATTTGCGGTATCCTGATAGAAAAGGCCACGAGAATATGAATCACCCTCGATGGGAAAAAAAACACAGCCATCGAGAGAGTGTGCCATAACATGGCAAAGCGATTGTGCAGGCACTGCTGTTGCAAAAGGGGTAAATACATTATATCTTTAAATCTACTTGTAATGGTAATTGCATTGGACTCCAGGTTTACGCACTGGCCGGGGTCATTCTCAAGACGTTTTCTCTCACTCCGCCCAAGAGTATAAATGGGTACCAGCAAATTGTTAGAGAAACCTGTAGTAGTTACCTGTGATGGGCAAGCAACTTATCCAGTCGAGAAGCAATAGCTTTGGTTGCTATATGCTATAAAAACCTAGAGTTAAGCACCGGAGTGATAAGCCATCAAGACTTGAAGACAGACGTCGGTCCGTAATTCTAAACTCTGAATGTTTCCCTTTTCCTTACAGGGCAACTATGCGCCATCTTACCTCGCCTGTCCAGAAACTTATAACTGGATTCCAATTGAGCATTGTCGTCCAAAACTCGACCTCAGTAAATATTCTCGACTTGATGACCCCGACGAAGGTAACAACTGTACAAAATTGGAAGAAACTAGTCTAACAAAATAAGGAGACTTTAATTTTAATTTTCTCGGGTGTAACCTCTTTTCTCTGTAGTCGTGCCCCCTTGAGAAGAAAAACCAGTATTTAGCGGTAGTATCTCTAGGTTTCCGTCGATGTGAAGGACATTGTGTTCTTATCCATCGGACACATTTTCTACCCACTTAGTCATGGCCTGCTCTCTCCTTGTATTTTTTTACGCTGATCCTCCAGAAGCAACCCAAGGTTCTACAGAAGATGTACTTGTACTGTTTGAGCGACAAGCAATGCCATACCAGGTATGTCTTAATTTAATTCCCTTCCCTTCTCCAGTCTTACGATAAAAGAGTTCAAGCAAACCTCAGTGGCAACGAGAACGGGATTCGATTGATCAACAGTAGGGGGTTATTCTTCTCGTTGTACTGATCTATTATTATTCATATTTACGTCAAATTAGCTAATGTTGCGGCTAAGCCTCGCTTTTTACGCGGGAATGAATCTCCAATGCGTGAAAGTGGATTAACATGGCAGACGAAGCAGGGGTTTGTCAAGAATTTCGTGTCAACAAGGCATGTGGAAGCACCGGGAGGAATGGGGGAGGGGGTGAATTTTTGCAACTGGCATGATCACGCATAAGCCCGTCCTTAGTTCTCCTCCTCCAGGGAAAAAATATGAAATGACTAAATTCTGTGTTGAAGACGAACGTAAGACGCAGAGGCGAAATTTTGTGCTACTATTTGGTACTGAGAGCAGTCTTTACACACTCATCTAAGTAAAGATAATTACGATGAAGGAATCTAGATAACTGCGAGATTCCTAAGAACGCTATCCCCAGCGTCACCGTTCTGGCCTGCACAGCCTATATTTACCGTTGCTGTTGTTTCTTTTTTCACAGCTTTATGCGGCGATCACAGAGGCCAATGATCGACAGGAGGTTCAGGAGTATGCAGAACTCGTTGGACCTGCCGTTTCATCAAGGATGCTACTATTTAGATCTGGTTGAAGCCTGATCTTCTTCAAACATTCTCACACCGCACCCCTCCGTAGCAGAAGTATCGCGTGAAAACTCGTTGATGGCGGAAGCCCCTAAAATGTTTTTAAAAATTAAACCTCGAGAGATTTTGACCAAGCGTTACATAAGCTGTTAGGAAGAAGTATAATTAACTGGGCCAGACGTTTTTTTTTTTAAAAATTGTTGCCAACCCACGGACACTTGTAAAATATTGGTAAAAGTTAAAGAGCTGGGTTTTGAGCTTCTTGATTTATATTTTTACGACGAATTGTGTATTTACAGACTCACATGCTGTTTTGGTGTGCGTTAGAAGTATTTTTAGAGTGCTCGTGAAAATGAAATATTTGCTACGGTTGTACAAGACGTGAATCTCTGATAGACATCGAGGTTTCACGAAGTCTTGGGTGAAAAAGCTTTCTTTCTGACGAATGAACGTTTTCTGCAACAATTAATAAAAGTGAAGGTTACTACGGTCGTCATCGTTGTTGTTGTTGTTGTTGTTGTTGTTGTTGTTGTTGTTGTTGTTGTGCTTGTTGTTGTGCTTGTTGTTGCAGCTTTACTCCCAGCCACCACTGCGTCGTTGACCCTGGCGAGGATGAACACCGATGGTCGCTTTTAATTGCTTGAAAATACCCAAAATATTCTCGACGTGAACCGAAGTAGTTAATCTCGACTTGTAAGTCGCATGAATTATCCTCTATGTGAGCGTGATAGCCTGGTGCGTGCCAGGTTTCCGCTGTACAGTTGTCACAACCAGCTCCAAAGATTCGCACCCGCTCGTATTCAATGCAAGTGTCGAAGATGTCGTTATCCCCTGAGAAAAAATCCACAATCGCAATCTTTCCTCTCAGGTAGTCGGTGTTGATGTCAAAGTTGTCTTTCTCGAAGTCACATGTCGCTCTGAAATGCGTCGCTCCCTGATTTGTAATGTAATTCATTTCATTCCGCGTCAATCGAAAATCAAGCCAATTCACGCTGCCTTCATTTCGAGGCCAATCCGCGCCAAAGTGCACCCCAGCGAAATGCTCTAAGTTCGCCAGAGAAAATGTTTCTATTAAAGTCCAAACAAAATCCGCCTCAGAACTGAAATCGCAGTAGGTTTTGAATAAATTCCCCGATGTGTCTTGTATTGTGTATTCTCCGCTCGTTGCTTGTGGATTTCTTGTTTTGATGTCCAGACATGAAGGTGCGATCTCGCATACTCTACCTCCGAAATTTACAGGACACGCACAACTGAATTTCAGTTTCACGTCAGTACAGAGCTCTGAACATGTTCCTCCGTATAAACAAGGATTCGACCGACAGCATCCATTTAGACAGTTGTTAGCATCCTGTGTGAATTACAAAAACATGTTTCAATGTGCTGCATGTGCATCACTGTGCCAAAGGGAAAATATCAGAGGGTATTCAACCGAGCTGAGAATGTATAGTACACGTGAAGTATTCAAAGTCGAATTTAAGAAAAACAGGCTGCATTTTAATAGGATATTCCGGATGTATTGTATTTGTTGTATTTCGCGTCACGCGACCGTCAATGCCCCAGAATGTTCCGGTACATGAAGCGTGTGCCCGAATCGTATTCGAACTGGGATTAGTTTGGGCTTTTTTGAATAAGGTGGCAGTCCTGCAGCCCCCTTCTAAGCAACATAAATAGCGCGGGCAGAGAAAATGCCAATTTGCTTTTGAGGGTTATCATTGCATACCTGTTGCACAAATTCCTGAGTTATGTCGTAATAGGCGTACCCTGGTACCTGTCCGAAATCCTGGGCCGCTGTCCCTCTGTCCTCTTCTAACAATTCACAGCTGGAATCTCTCCTTTGAAATGAGAGACATCTGCAGTCACTGATGCAGGCACTGAAACATTCCTGGTCTGTTAAATCGCTAAGATTTCGGAACGAATGCCCAAGAAGAGCATAATCTTTGCTTACATGTTTTTCTGGACGGAACTCGCCCTTATAGCAGGTTCCGTGACAGTGAAATTCTGTTCCCGTTGTCATAGTAACAAGTTGCACTAGGATTGCCGCAACCGCGTGACATAGAGAAGTTTTTAAGGCCTGCATTGCTGGACTCCTGACTCTTGGATAACTTGAACATATATTTCTGCAATAAATTGTTACTATTATATTTTTTCACTTCATTGTGGTTTATTAGGTTCTACGACTGATGATTTACAGACCTTGCGTTTCGCCAAGCCTGAAAACTTAGGAACGATACAAACTGCCAATCAAACTTTTGTTTCAACAACTTGCCGCATAAAAATGGCCCAACTTCACTTTGTCGAAGCGAGTAATGGTCAGTAATCTGTTAACTTATCATTTCTTCCTACAGTTGCTCTGGTTTAACATTCACGCAATCAAAATAAAATAACAATTTGCAGGGCAGATTTTGAGTGTTTTTTATGAAGGAGGAGAGGTCCCACATTTTTCTATCTTACGAAAAAGGGGAATGGTTATGAAGCCGATCACGACGGCAAACTTCAAAGAAGAGAACAGAGATGAAAATATTTATGTTGGAAGGTTCTCGTGCAAAATCTTCTACATCTACATTTTTACATAGCCAGAAAGGTTGCCCACCCCGCATTCATACATCTTGCACGAATTAGGTAACTGAAACGTTGCTATTGGTTAGTTCCTCAGTCGGTAGTAAACAGCAATTGTGTTTTGTGCACGGTCAAGGCCAAAAAAGCGAAGAAAAGCATACAACAAAGAAATTTGTCGCGTCTCACACAACCATTTCCCTTTATCATGTATGCCATAGCTGTAAGGTTGGGGTAATATTCCAGTAAAAGCAGCTTACAATATGAACACGTTTCGACCCTAAATAAAGGAAAACCACTATTGCTGTCTAGCGTATGAGGAAAAAAAGGGAAAATGGCTTTCAATAATAGTATATACATTGAAAATTTAGTAAAACCTTCGCGCATGAACATGGCAATCTCTTTATGTCGCTCCTGGAAGTAACGTACTCTGTTCAGTTTGGGTACGATGAAATACTGCCAGAAGAACTTACCACACGACTTTTGATCATGGTTTCAAAATGGAAGAAGAGTAAGAATTAAGGTTGATATTCTTTCTTTTTTATCTCAGAAGACTGAATCTTTTTTGAACTGTTCAATGCGAGAAACACCTTACCTGTATTTATCACAGACAGCACCGGTCTGGGGCAGTTAGGTACGGTGAAATCTTAGGCCGCTCCTCACATTAGCCCGGAATTCTATTACATAGGTGATAACTTGTTTTACGTGGATTTTTTCAGCCACTTTATCAGAACCTTCAACCGCGTTCGTATTTGACTCCATCGTTAACTAGTTAAAGTCTCGCTTTATATTTCCTTTACAGGACAGGGTCGGTCACAGTAAGTTTCTTTGTTAAACTTAGTGGAAAACCATTAAAAATTCACCCGCGCGACGGGCCGTTAAATTTCTGCTGTTTTCAACACAATAGAACCTTTGCTTTAGAAGACTTTTAGTTATTGTTGTTAACGAACTGTGGGCGTTCTCACTTATTTCAGCTGTTAATTTTTAGCTTTTTTTGTTCATGCGTGTCTCGCATTTTCTATTTATGTCAGAGAAAAGCAATCACTCAAGAGTCCGGAGTGTCACGGCTAAACTTTGGACAATACTGTTTCGAATGTAAAATTAGCCTGTTTGAGTGCCTTTTCTCTACAAAAGCCAGTTGTAATTTCAGTTCAGTACCGTAATCAGGACTTTTTTTTTCCTGATACAATTTAGTTATGACTCTCGTTATGACATAAATTAGGTAATATTACTTCCAAACAGCTGTCACTCACGTCACCTGCCATGAGCAAAGCCCCGGGGGGGACTCCCGTTCAAAAAGGATGGGGGTGCCCCTCGGAAAATTTGAAAAGGAACCATAAGAGGTACCAGGATGCTGTTTCGTGGACGTGGCTTGAAATCTTTTTCACCCCTAAGAGATATCAATTCTAAAACAACACACTAACTGACTCTGACTTTCTTTCGGCTCAATACCCTAAAACGTACCACATAAGCTCCCGCTGAGTGTGGACCTGCTGATCACCCTAAGAGGTACCAAGACCTCTTAATTTTTTAACCCCGAGAAGGTACGGCGAGCACCCCCGTCCTTGTCATATGGGAGTCCACCCAGCAGCAAAGCTCACCATGAAACAAGCTTGCGTAGACAAGAGCGATATGCCACGCATGCAGACACTAACAGTCTTCAAGTGTGGCCAGTTCATCTGAAAAAAACGATCTCTGGTTTTTTGCTTTGTTTGTGTGTGTGTGTGTGTGTGTNAATTTTTTAACCCCGAGAAGGTACGGCGAGCACCCCCGTCCTTGTCATATGGGAGTCCACCCAGCAGCAAAGCTCACCATGAAACAAGCTTGCGTAGACAAGAGCGATATGCCACGCATGTAGACACTAACAGTCTTCAAGCGTGGCCAGTTCATCTGACAAAAACGATCTCTGGTTTTTTGCTTTGTTTGTGTGTGTGTGTGTGTGTGTTTTTTTTTTTACGCGTTGACTAAAGATGTTTACAGAAAAATTTATTTAACTTGGTCTTTCCCTCTTTAATGACCGTGTCTGTATGGTTTTCGTTTTTGCTGTTCTGTTTATAGTCGTTGATACTGTCTGGCTTACTGGCTTTTAGTGATACTGTATCTCTGCAGATGTGATTCACAACAGGGTCTTTTTGTAGAAGCTATTTTGATAATGAACCCTATTAATCTCCGAGAGGTATTCGATGGATCTTTGCTAGAGGGGGGTGCATATTCCTGACTCTATTTCAGACCAAAATACGTTATTTTCCTTGCCTAGCCTTTCGCGCGCATCTAAAGCCCCGGCCAAACGATCGCAACATATCAACACAACATTTCGCAACATTGTTGGGCGCAACATGTTGCGCGCGTTTGGCCACCCTGTTGCGACGTGTTGCGACATCTTGGGTGTTGCAATTTGAACTAGTGCGCATGCCTTGGCGTAACATTGTTGTACGAACTTGGCTAGACGAGTAGAACATCATGCAACATCCACAAATGTTGCATGAAAAATTCGACAATTTTCAAACTTGAGCCAACAACACCCACCATGTCGACTATGTCACAACACGTCGCATTAGGGTAGCCAAACGCGTGCAACGCTGTTGCATTGACAATGTTGAGATATGTTGCGTTAAAATGTTGCGATCGTTTGGCCAGGGCTTACAGGCGAGAAAGGCTTGGTGCGAGGAGCGACCGCGCCGTCCCTAGCTCTTCCCTATTTTATCGTGTACTATTTTTGGCGATGCGCCACCAACTAACTGGACTCCTGGAAGAGGTTACTCGCGCAACCTCTATCAGTTTTCTTTCCAAAAATCGCTTGCTTTATTGCATCTCTCCATTTTAACTTAAAAAAAAGGAAACAAACAAACAGTAAATAAACACAAATGTAAGATCGGGAAAAGTTCTTTTTCAGTTGTTTTCTTCCTCTCTTATAGAACAAACAAATCTGAACGTGGGACGATTTAGGCATGGTCTTCGAGAAAAGAGGAAGGATCAGAGGATCTCACCAAAATTTGTTAGTTATGTTGAATACCGTTATCTAGCTCGATCCGTGAGCGGGCAAGAGGAACCAAGTCCTGCGCTGTGATTGGTTACCCGTTCTTTTTTGGCGAGTTTATCGTCTCGGCCATTAACACGCAGAAAAAGAACTTGGCCAATATCTTGCCTTCCTGTCCTCACGTTTGGTCAAGAACCAATATATTTGTTACTAACGCTTCCATACTTGCTTGGCTGATGACAACCTGGGGTCGAGGAAGTCAATTACAACATGGCGCCAGGACTAAAGTTGTTCTTGAAACGAGACTGCGTTTCTTGTCGCATTACATGGCTTTATTTGAATCAGGTGTGTATCACAAATTAGATAAATGTCTCATTTTTAAGGTTCTCTTTGTCACAACTGGTTTACCCAAGCTGTTTCCGTAACATCGTTTAATCTTTTACATGGGCATGCCTGTAAGCTACCAGGAAACGTAATGTTCGTTCGGCAAACAAACTCCGCCTTCCTTATTCAGGGTTTTTTGCCATTCCCATGTTTGTTTCGCTGATATATATCTTATTTGGCACGTTTTATGGTACAGCTTTCATTTAAAGCGACTTTTAAGCTTCTTTCAACCTATTTGTTTTTGTTTTAAGTTGTCATGGGAATTGAACTGTCCAATCTCGAGTTATTTCAGAGATGTTCTTGAATTAAATGGATTATTCTATTTACTCCAGAATAAAATTCCATTTACAATGGTTGATGTCGATGAGCAGAAGCCGCCAGATTTTGAAAACGTCAGCCCTCTTGGATCTGTGCCATTGTTGCAAGATGGAAATCTTAATATTTGTGGAAGGTATGTCACATGAAAACCAGTTTTTAGGCTTGCCGATCAAGCAAGCTACAACCGTGTATGATTTACAAACTCAAAAGTCATTTTCACTAGCCCCCAAAGTATTTCTTACATTTCTACACATAATTTCAAATTTCCTCAAACATTTTCCTCGGCAAAAGATAATTCTCTTGCCAGTCCAACAAGTACTTGAGATACAAAACAAAAAGCATTTAGGATAGTTTCCACTAGTCCAGCAACAAAATTCACTAGCTGCGGACTATTGGACAGAACTTTCTTTGCACTTGATCTGTACCATATTATTAACCAAATTTTATGATTGCTTACTTTCTTACGGAGCCTCTTTGCACTATATGGCATTTTCAGACTCCATGCAGTCTAGATGGTTGGGTCATGAATACCCCCCTGATACTCAAAATGACAACATAGTGTGATCAAGTTGCATTTTTGCAGCTAGATGATGAGTGCTTGGTGCACTAACAATTACGGATCATGGCATACTTAAGATATATATGACTGGATTTAAGAATACCATGTCGATGAAAAATGAATTCCTTTGTAGTACACACTTTTGATTTCATGACTCATTGATTAGAAGTGGATGAAATGAGAAAAAAATTAAAAGAAAGATAAGAGAGTGAAAAAAAGCTACATTCCTCTGAATTTTTATATTGTCTAGACTCTAGAGGAAATATGCTTGAGCAGGGTAAAAATTTCTTAAATGCTGTTTTCATAAATCCAGAAATATATATAGTTATACAGTAACTGTTGAACCTCCCTGTCCCAAACTCTTATGGGAAACACAAAATAGCTGGAGATTTCGGGGGTTCAAGACTGTTGATACAAGAGTGACAGAAAAAGTATATCCTAGAGAAAATGACTTGAGTTCAAGTAAGTGGGGAGTTCTGGATAGCGACATTCTTCTGCAGTGTAGAGAATGACAACAAAACGTTTGAACCATATACATTGATGTTGTGGTATTTTGTTCAAAAATAGTAAAAACAATGCAGCTTACTTTTTGTGGCTTAAAAATGAGTGCTGATATAATTGATTTAAAATGCAATACCAGGATTATTTTCTTGCTGTTACACCTTTTTTCAGAAATAGGTGTTTTTTTTTTTTTTCAATCTCTCGAGTAATGTAAAATCCATTTCAGGGTTTTTTGGTTTAAATCACTTAGTTTTTGTTGACTTGTTGGTTCAAATGATTAGAGCCCGCATTAAACTTGCATTAATTTTAGTAACATAATATGGTACATGTGCAGGTCAAAACTAACCTGATAACTGACTGTACTTTGTCTGTTTGTTACAGCCAAGCTATAATATTTTATTTGGGAGAGAAATACACCAACTATGCTGGCTTTGGGAAGAGCGATGAACGACTGCTGATAGAATCTGTTATAAACTGGGCGGCAACCACACTTCTGAGGTATTACATATACTTCTCTAGTAAATACCAGTGAACAAATGTCTGAATATGTACTGCATTAGAGCCCCATGGAGGGGGACTCCCAGTGATGTGAAAAGGTGGGGGTTGCTCATCTGAAAATTTGAATTAAACCTGTAAAGGAGACCAGTCTGGGTGTGTCTCAAGCTTTATTTGACCCCTAAAAGATATCACTTCAAAATGGACAGCAGTGTTTTTTTTTATGATTATTATTTCTTTGAGTGCAACCTAAAAGGATACTTTGATGCAAAAAATAAACCTTGCCCTGAACACCCTAAATGAGAGCAAAATCCTTTATTTATGTCTTAAGCGAGACAATCACATCCCCGACCTTTTCGCATGGGAGTCCCCCTCCCAGGTTTAGAACTTAGGGGTTGTACATACTGTAAGCGCACATTGTTATTTGGGGTTGTAGCACTTAAGCAAATGCAGTGATCATTTAATTTAACGGTAGTACAGACAGTAGGTGCTTTAACATGTTGCTTAGCCTACAACTAAAAAAGTTTTCTTAATACCTAGGGATGTTGCAAGTAATTACGTTTACCCAAGTTTAAGCCGACCAGAAGATGCCTTAGGCAAAGAAGGCAATGCATCCTTAGTAGAGTTTGTCAAGACTGAGGTGTTTTTTCACTTGGACACGTTGGAAAAGCACTATCTGTCCCAGCGTGATTTCCTGTGTTGCACTGTTCCTACCCTTGCAGACAGCTGGATTGCTATGGTGTTATCTCTGCTAGAGTTGGTCTGCTTGGATCTAGCACCTTGGCCAAAGGTGAAGTCTTGGATGAATTCTATGAAGGCCAGTAGTGATTATGTGGACGTCAGTTATAATCACGAGGAAATGGTGCGGAAGTGTTTGCATGGCTTGAATAACAGCACATCTGATCTCAAGACAGTGGATACTGATCCTGTGACATAAATTCTCTTAATAGCCTTGCAGCTCCTGTGAGTAGCTTCTGTGGATAGATATAACCCTGGGGGCACCCATATGAAAAGGTTGGGGGTGCTTGTTAAAAAAATTTGAAGTTAATTCCTAAAGGAATTAAATACATTGTATTTATACATTGGATACATTGTATTCAACTAGCTCTAAAAGATACCAGTTAAATCAGAAATGACAGCATGTTTTAGTTTGATTTCTTCAAGTCCACCCTGAGAAATACTTTGATGGCTGAAAATAGTGATGTTTCGTCTTTAACATCCTGAGAGCTATCAAAATCCTTGATTTATACCCCTAAGCAAGGAGACAAGCATCCCCAACCTTTTCATATGGGAGACCCCACGGGGAGAACTCAGATTACAAAGTGTAAATAACTTAGAATGACCACCATTTAAATCACTAAAAATCACAGTTGTTATGGGTTTGGCCATAAAGTTCCACCACCACCAACTTGACAGCTCTGATTTGGTGCCATAAACTGAGTAGCTAAACAGCAATACAATTAAGTGCAGGCAAGTACCTGAATAAAAAGTCAAGTATTCTTGTGTTTACGATAAAGAGGAACAAAACTAACTAATATAATGATAAAAAGGTTTATTCTGGAACAAAGTAAGTGTAAAGCATATCTGACTTGTGAGCATATCTGAACTTGTGAGCCTTTGTTATTATGCTAATTCGTAGAGACTAAAGTCAAACCTCTGTATTAATTTATTCACTTTGCTTTAAGAATGGTGTCACGATGACGCCGAAACGTCGGTTATTAACTTTAATATTTTATTTGCTTGTTTATGTTATAAAAAATCGTTATTGATCAAGACTTTAACTACAATATTGGGTCCCGGACTCGTTTTCTTTTTTAAGCCCAGGAAGCCAAAATAAAGTGCATTTTTAACGTGTTATATTGTTGCTATGGTAATCTTTTGTGCCACGAAAGAGGGTATAACTTGTTTGCCAATAATTAAGCGTTTGTTTGACGCTATTGTTGCACGTGGCATCAACTAAACCGTGAGGTGGCATTGATTCATCAACGAAGAAGTGATGAATAAAGCCTGAAACCTCAACCACTTTAACTTGTAATGCGGCCGCACATTTAAAGCCTAATACTTGCCTTTTTCCAAGAAAAAGTACGAATGATACAATAATTGCTGAGATTAAGAGGCGCTATAGTTGTAATTTGTATGAAATGGGATGAAATCTGTCTGAAGCCGGGAAGAATAAAACAAAATTAGACTTCCGTCGCACAGAGCACTTCATATATCTTAGATTAGCCAAGCGTAAGGGCCGTACTGGGAAAATATGGGCCCGAGGCCTTCAGGCAGCACAGACCAACAAGACCGATATTGTCCCAGTACCATCCCGAGCAAGATTGGTTGATAAGAGATTTGTTACATGACTGAATATGCCGTAAACTTCCAGATTCAAATTAATTGCCGTTTACCCACGTTTGACGTTTCAAAAGAAAATAAGGATAAGACAATTAGACAAAAAATATATTACGATTAAGTGAATTCTTTTGGGGAACTGTGTTAGCCACAAAACAACCAGGGATCATTTGGGACAGTGCCCGGTCCAACACTTAAAAATATTGGACCGGCAATGGAACAATCTGATGGGTCGATATTAGTTATTGGCCCTCCAAACTAGTCTGCTTTTTATGATCATATGGATCTTTCAACTTTTACTTAGAACTTGAAATTCTTTATTTAATCTGTTCTATTCGTTTCAAAGCCAATTATCCTCCGTCGTCAAAAAAAATACTTAAGACTACACTATTTGGATATTGGACCATCTCACTACACTAAAACGTGTCAACTGAAGGCATTGCATGAAAACTAAAAAGATAATTACCGAGAGGATAGTGCTAGTGCTAAGACGTATTCTAATGTAAAACAACTTACAACGCCCCCTAAATTGTAAAGGGAAGTAAGTATCAACATCATTTCGCAACCTCAAAAGATTATTCTATATTTCATTTAGACGCTGACTTAACTAACGGGCTACCCTGTTAAATAAAGTTTTGCTTTACTTTACTTTACTAACTTACTTCAAGCTGCAGTCGCGGTACAGATATTTTTTTTTGAAAAAACAAAAACAAAAACAAAAACACAAACAAAAAAACAAAATCTGACGTGTCCCTACAGTGTTTCAATGAATATGCCTTTTTGCACTGCAGTGCCAGCAAACATTTAATCAATTCTCTATCCTTACATCGCTTTCTTCGATTCGTGGGACGTGGGACTGCCGTCGGAATTTGTTTAATATTTCTCCTTTATAAAATTAGAACAAAAACAAAATCACTGGAATGGCAAAGCCGCTAGATCGCCAAATATAGTTCGTAACCCTAACCTTAACACAAGGGAAGGCTTAATCGCCTGGCTGCTTTCTGTTTTCTGTTTTCTTTTTCTCACAGAAAGCAAAATACCAGAATATCCCAGTGTGAAAAAATTTGACTGTTACGCTAAGACAACGGGCAATGGTAAAAAAAAAACACCATGGACTCCATAGAAACGGATAAATGCTGGCTTTTGGTCGATGAAAGTGCAACAAGGGACCAAGCGTTTGAGAAATGCGCCTGGCTCGCTTGGAAGGGAGGCTTCAAGCTGTTTGGTGTCGATAGCAATAACAACTGTTCTTCGGGTTTTGTTGCGACGAAATTTTACAGAATAGAATACGCTTTGATGTGGGTTCAAATACCCGTTACGCGATACGAACACTTCAGCAGGAATGAGAAAGTCAATATTAAAATTTGAAATCATTCATAAGTTCCAGGAAATTTTTTGATGTTCCGTTAAATTTTCAAGCTAACGATTAGATTTTGTGCGGAAATCTAAGAAGAGTTGGGGGAAAACCTATTGTCGATAGCTGAAGCTTTCACATCCACCGAGTTTGCACCCAAATCGATTCAACTAGCAACCAAGTGCTTAAAATTTATCTCTCTCTTACCGAGCAAAAAGACAACAATGTGCATAATGAAACAAAATCAGGTGAAGACGGTACCTCTTAGGGGTGAATAAAATTTCGAGTCACGCCCATAAAACAGGGTCTTGATATCTCTTAGGGGTTTCAAAATTTCCGATGAGCATCCCCATCCCTTTTATATGCGATTTCGCCCCACAGTTATACTCCGCACAAGTTTGCTACCATCTTCAATATGGCGGTTCCGTGAAGCGTGTGGAACCCAGGGCTCATAACGGCGTTGAGATGTGTGTGATCTCCGCATGCGCACGTATATTTCCCATGATTCTCTCCACATCTTACAAAGTAACCTGCTGTTCCCTGGCTAAGAATGTGTGTATCCTGTGACTTTTAGGAATGATCCTAAGCAGAAAGTAGTATATTATTTTTGTGTCTGTGTGTGTGTGTCGACATAAATAACAAAAATGTATGCCCCGAGACCTGGAAACCACGATGGAGTGATGGTGACAACGATGAAAATATTGATATTTATTGGGGGCTAGCGATGGAGGATTCCGTGCATAAAGTAATAGAATAATAATTCGGTTGAAAGAGAAAATAAGGAATAATTAATTTACCATTGAAGGAAGCATTCTCAGTTCTGCAGCAGCTTTAGTTTTCTATTTGTGCTCATCAAATACAGTATCTTTAAGTTTTTCTTATATGGTGTTGGTGGTTGGTGTTTAAACAGTCATGTAGAATATAAACACAATTAAACGTTGTTGGGAGAAAACAAGTGTATGTGGTGTGTTCAGACTTAACTTTGTTACCGCGCCAACGATGAAACATCAATGATAGAATTCCTGGTTTTAAATTATTACATTAGCTGATTCACTAGCGGCCTTTGCGGTTTTAAGTCCTGGCCAAACGGACTTGCAAGTAGTCGCAAGTTGAACTTGCGTAGAGACTTGCGTTGGGTGAACAAACGGATTCGCAAGTTTCCTCGCACGTACTCGCAAGCCGTAAAAAAAAACCCATTTCAAGGCAGAAATATCCTTTATTTAATTGGCTAATAATAGGTTAATGGACGTTACTCAACTCGCGTTGACTTGGGTTGGCTGGCCAAATGCTTCGACTTGCGTGCAAATTTGCTGATCTCACAATCTCGGCCAAAGTGAGCGCAAGTCATGGCAAGTCAACGCAAGTGCACGCAAGCTGGCCAAACGGAGTCGTAAGAAGACCTATATAAGTTTTCAACATGGGTCTACATGCGAGTGCGTTTAGAGAGCTTTAGAGGTGTTTCCCAAATCACCCCTGAAGGTCAGTGGATATGAGGAGAGAGGAAATATGGATGGAAATGCTATTGCAAACATGAAGCTAAAAGTTTGAAAATGGCTTAAATTTCAAGAGAAAAAGATAGGGCCATGACTGGGGTGTAATGACTTCAACTTCAGTAAAATATCATTATCTGTAATTCAGGTTAAATAAACAACAATAATAAACAAAGTGAGACAACAATAACAGCAGCGGAGCCACCCGACTTCGTTAAAATATAAAAAAGTCAAAATGAAAACAAATAACACCTTCCCCACACAAGTTTACTCTCTCCTGCTTGCACTGATCGTCTTGGTAAGTTAGGAATCATAAATGAAACCTCAAAGGTTGCTTGCGAAACAATTGATTTTTAATTGTTTCTTACACGATCATTACCACGCATGTTTTCTGGGTGTTGATGCACTACAAAACTCAATTTCACGCAGGTTTTTATGCAGTAGGGACATTTTCTCCCCCCCGGGGGGGACTCTCATGTAAAAAGGACCGGGGTGCTCGTCGTTTTGATACTTCTTAGGGTATTCAGCCTCAAAAGATCCACAGCGGGAGCTTTTGTGGTAACTTTTACGGTATTGAGAGGAAACATATGACAGCTTGAGTAGAATTGGTACCTCTTAGGGATGACAAAAAATTCCAAGCCACGCCCACAAAACATGATCTTGGTTCCTCTTAGGTGTTCTTTTCAATATTTCTGACGAGCACCCCCACCCTTTTAATATGGGAAGCCTCCCGACCTTTCTCTTTTTCTCTCGACATCGATCGCCTCTACCTCATTCCCATTCGAATTTTTTTCTTCTTGTTTTGAGGCTGGCCTATCTAAAAAGTGAAATTATATAGATATGATTCATACTGTTATGAGGAGTTAGTTTGGGTGGAATCCCAGCCTGTGAATTTCGTCATAACATTGACAAAGTAGTCTGCAGATCCACTCGGCTATCGCCTCGTGGATCCACAGCTACTCTGACAATGTTATGACGAAATTCATGTTCAATAACAGGACAGACGCATGAAAAACTGACGTCAATTTGTTAAGAAACTATGGAAAACTTTTCTTTACACTATCTTACACTACAATGTGGGATACATGAAGTATATATTATAGTTTCTATGGTGATACCGCTGCTTGATTTCATGGTAGGCTCCACTGACCGAAGCAAGAGCGGAAAAGAGCGGAAGAGAAGCGAAGTGAGCAAACGTTTTCACGAAGATTGAAGACGTCGATCGGTCGTGATTTGGTCTCTTTTTTTGCACGATGTCTCTTTTTGCGTGTACGAGCTGCAACAGCCGTCATCCCTTCGAGCAACTTTCAAAGGGAGATCAACTTTGCAAGGTATTTTCAGCTTAACCTAACGTTTACTGCAACGATAAATTCAAACAGTATCATTCGCTAGTCCTCGCTAGAGCTTGCTCTGCAAAGTACAGCGGCTTGGCCAGGAAATTAACAACGTAAGTTTGCTGTGGCTTTGGAAGCAAAGAACTAGATTGAATTCGTTGTTAATGCTACGTTTATGATGTATCATGGTCCATGGGAGATGCATGGACGGTAATACGTTTGATGACAAGGTAAAAACCAGAATTTTCATGTTCAAAGCCCAGTTGTGTAACTAGCTTAATTGAAGCCAAACCTGGGACCGGAGGTGAATGCAATTTTGTCGCATCTTGTTAGCTGGTTGGTTGACTTTGAAAAATATAAGACTGATTGATTAACAGTGAAAAAGATATGGCTAGCATGTGCACTAAGGAGAAAAATGCACCAATACACCTGAACAAAAATCATAATAACAGCTCACGTCAAATTGTACTTGTAGCTTGTTATAACCTGTTATCACCTTTTATGACCTGTTATAACCTGTTATAACCCAGGACATAACAAGTCATCGAAAACCATACAGATTGATTGATGTTATTAAACAACTGGATCACTGGCTAATGCAATTCAAGAGTTAGCCTGCAGAACAGGCGGATTAATCAGGCAGGGAGCGAAACGCAGTCACGTGAAGGGTGAGACAAAAGAAATCCGCCTGTAGTCACACCATTGTCTATGCCCTACTGCCCCTTGAAATGATTGGCATGAAAGAATGAGAGAGAACAAAACAATTCAATTTATTGGCGGGAAGAAATGTCTCAAGTAACCAATTGTATAAATGTATACATGATACAAACAGTCAACAGACGTGAACATCTAAATTTAGCTAAATTTAAATCGTGTGGTGCCAGAACAAACAGAGGAGGTATAAAACTTAACTTCAAGCTCAGGAGAGGAAAAGCTCAAACAAATTCAGGATGGAAGAAACATAACTGTTACGACGTAGAATGGATCTCTAAGATTCTCGAAGTAACACTACAGCAGTCTCTGGTGATGGAGGACAAAGCTAAATGTGATCCGTGGTAACGAACCACATAACTTAACACAGTTTTAACCTAACAACCGGGCCTGGCATCACAACATAGAATGCAAGTAATCAACATGATCACCGACTTTGTCCCTCCAGAGTGAATAATTAAAAAGAGATACAACATACATTTGTGCAATAGAAATGAGGCCAGACAAACCACACTTAACTCAGCACATGGCAAATTACAGAGGTGTTTAACTCTACAAAGTAATAGATAATAGCTGAAACCATGCAGAGCTCTGACCTTTAGCAGTCCAACGGCTCTACTCCGCTTTTAAAAAAGTCCTCCTGATAACACAACATTAGTGCCCTTCAGAAACAAATAAGGAGCAAAATAAAAGGTCGAGGGGCTGGAATTTATAAGAGAATGGCAAATATAGAAATTTACGCGCTGTAGGAGTACGTGCAGGGCTGTCACTCAATTTAACACGTTTTGGTTTTTTCTTGCGTCTGACATCACATGGCTTAAAGCAACCAATCAGCAAAAACCGTTCCCCAGGCGAACAGTTGGAAGAGCATAAACAATGGTGTGACTACAGGTGGATTTATTTGTCTTGTGGTTCACGCTCATGGTCGTGCTCCGCATTCGTGTATCGCATTTCGCTGTCTGTGCTGCTAATCTGCCTGTTCTGCAGGCTATTCAAGTGCTTTCTTGGCTTTAAGCCAACATGGTATAAGAGCAATATTGTACCATGCTCTACAAAAATGGCAAGCCCATGTACAATTTTTTGGGTGCGTTTTTATTAAATGGAACGGCTTTGGGTCAAGCCTGGTGTATGGTTTTGTCATGGTTTTACCCTTTTGCACATGAGTAGACTGAGACCTTTCTGTGCGGCCATAGTTGACTGTTAGTGAGAATCAGGTCTTTGCTGGAAGTATTTTGAGAGGCTGGAAACTTTCCTTCTGCAAATTTTTATTCCACAGAATGTCAAAAGAGATGTAGCCTTGGATAAAGAAGGGCAGTGAAAGAGGCATTGATACACTGTAAATCACAAAACAAAATACATCTACACATAGATAGTAAGAAAAAGCGAATGCAACAGAAAAGTGGAAAAAGGGAAACTTGTATTTGATTTGATTATTTCCCGAGTTGAAGGACCAGATAGTCCACACCATAGAAATTTGTTACATGTTTGTACTCAACCTTAGGAACCCAAATAAGTAATGCAAATTGTGTTATAAGTGTGAGGCATATAGCATGGAGGATGTCGCATTTTTTAACTTGGAATTTGTTTTTGGTTTGAAGTGTGACCCCAGGTCAATTGGTCTCTGGTTATGCATATCGCATGGGGAATGTCAAGATTTTTTGATAACGAAAACACTCTGGGCCCATTTCAGAATGTTACTGTTGTCATTACCAGTGAGGCAGGTGTGTACAAATTGTATAGAAAGTGGTGTGAATTGGACATGCTTACTGCCGAGAAAAAAAAGAAAACATTGTATTGCTTAAGTTGCAATTATCTGTTAACCTGCTTGGGGATGCTTGCCTACTGAATTGAAAGTTTCAAATAGTTATCAGTGGTTTGGTATTAAACACAATATAATATTTTTGTCTTTTATAGGACTGCCGAAAGACATTCCCTTTGGTGACATGTACATATTGTCGTTTAGAGTTTCATCTCTTAAGGTCAGTTAATATCACTCACTCACTCACTCACTCACTCACTCACGCACGCACGCACGCACGCACGCACTCACTCACTCACTCAGTCAGTCACTCACTCACTCAATCAATCAATCAATCAATTAGCTAATCAATCAATCAATCAATCAATCATTCAATTTATCAATCAATCAATCATGCAGTCAGTCAATCAGTGAGCTATTCAATCATTCAATCAAGCCATCATTCAATCAATCATTCAACAGTTACAGGAACAGGAACAGGAACAGTACCTTTAATTGGATTAAAAGCCTTTAGTTAGTAGCTTGCAGCTAGCAAAGCTATTCTGGGGAGCTACTATTACTTTAACAGTATTACATGTATAAAGTTTAGTTAAAAGAAAGAATAAGAGAAAAAGAAGAAATTAAATCTGAGTAGATAAACAGAATTAAACCAAAATAATATACATAACACATGATGTAGAAATTGATTAATCAATCAATCAATGTTCATTAATCAATCAATCCATTGGTCAGTCAGTTGGAGTGTGTGTGAGCAGGTACTGTAGGTTGGTTGGTTAATTGCTGAAACTTTAAATAGTTGGTTGGACACTCAAGGCCATTACATTTCTTAATGTTGTCAACTCTCCTATAAAATATAAGTTAATTGAAAGGTGATTGAAAAGCCAAGAGTAATATTATTTTTTCAAGTTACATGTATGACATTAAATCCTGAATATCTGGGAGTAAACCAATTTACCAATTATCTTGTGTTTGGTTGACTTGCGGAAACCAGGCTTAAATGTTGTAATTTCATGTTTTTGTTTGTTTCTAGGAATATTGAAAAAGATCCAGTTTGTAAGAAATGTAGTCACAACCTCAAGACATATGGCCAGGTGATAAAGAGATCAGAGTGCAAAAATACTATAAACCTTAGAAAAGTAGTTTCTTATAAGAGTGAGAATTCAAACTGGGCAGCTCTATTTATCTTTTGATTGTTTGATTTATTTTTCGAGTGCTTGATGTTTACAAGTAACTTTTTAATTACTCACCAGCCATCCTGTTGTGAGTACTGCAACATTAGAGCAGCATTTGATGGAAAAAAGTGTTCCAGGCAAGTGAGAACAAACTTACATTCACAGATTTTTAAGTGCCTTTTCTATTATTTAGTTCTACGTGTATCAAAAGTTACAACTATACAGGCCCTGTAAGAGTTAAATGTTCGTTCTGTCATTTATACATGGGCCCACCAATGTTGCCTGGGTTTGAATCTGGGGTCAGATTGTGCAGAATATGTTTACCCTTATTGTTTGGAAGATTTCTCTGTGGTTTCTTAGTTTTTCCATCCCTGCAAAAACCAGAATTGTTCTCCAAATTATGATTTCAACTGACGTGACTGTACAGTCGATATAAATCTTATTAAATAAAAATGCAGACAGGCCATACTGGGAAAATATCAAATGGCTTAGATAAACATAGGTCTTGACAATTGGCAAGCTGCTAGCCTAGTTAATCAGTCTTATTATACATCTTTACATGGTGTAATTTGAAAAATCTGAGTTGTCAGCAAAAATAATTAACTTGAACCAATTCTTAGGTAACATGTACATGTAATTGTACTGGCAAATAAAAGTCTTCTTACAGGCTGATTTTAGAAATTTTTACTGGCCTTCCCAGCTGACTTCATCATGTCATTTAAAACTACTTAGGTGTGTGAGTTCAGAAAGGAAGTATGGTGCACCAGTCTCTTGTGAACAATGCAAACTGAACTGCGCTTTTGAGAAGCCCATGGAGTCGAGAGAAAAGGTCAGAATAAAATTTTAATTTGTTTAGGTGAAATCGTATGAATGCAAATGCAATTAAGGATTTACATTATGAGTTATATTTCAAAATTCTCTCAAAATTTCACAAGCTTTAATTAAGGCAAGTGCAATTTGAAAGAATTTTCAACAAGTATATCACTCAATGTGTAAATCCTTAATTGCTTGTTAAGCTTTCATACAATTACTTATTTATTATATGACTGAGAAAATGACAAATGTGCACACATTGACTTGCAAATTAGAAATTAACGATAAATTTGCCTGCTCTCAGCCAATCACAATGAAATAATTTTCTCAGTCATATAAAAATTCTACTAATTAAAATTAAATGAAATATTCCAGCAATATAAGCAATAAAATGAAATATAGTTATGTAATTTTCTATTTAGGTGGATGGCAAAACCCTTTGCCTCTTGTGCACTTTATCTTACAAAAGAATCTTGCATAAAGCCAAAAAAGGAGAAAAAAGACCACCGCCCAATGAACAGGAACATCGCAAGAGAGACAGGTCTGGTTGATTTTGAAATTACATCATATGCATCAATGATTAAAAAATATCTTTTGGTGGATTTTTGTGTCATTTCTCACTGTATAGAGTGCACTCCAAACCATGATTCAAATTTCATTTGATTTTTACTTCAGTTACAATTTGAATTTTGAGTTTTGACCTGAAAGAAACTATTCACTACATTTGACTTATCATTTTTTTTAATAATTAGCATGAACATCATACGTAATAATATTGTTTTTTTTTTATATTTTATTTCATACATGTATATGTTGTAGGTAATTTTTTTCTTCAGGTAAATTTGATTTTTACCTAGGTAATATTTTTTTAACTAGGTAATTTTAAAACAAATTNAAAAATACCTAGTTAAATAATAAATTTACCTAGTTAAAAAAAAATTACCTACTGAACATTTTTAACTGCAACATATATGTTTGTCATTTTTCCATGACATTATATTTTGGGTGGTAGACAAAATCTTAGAAGCAGTTACAGTGTAGCCACTGGGTACATCTGATTGGTTTTCCCTTGTAGGGACAGCCAGCAAACAAGTTATTTCAAATAATGATCTGATATTTGGTAATATAGCTTTACTAGGTTCAATTTTCATAAGATAATGAAATATCAATGAAAACATTTTAATAATAATTATTATCCTGAACTTAAATAAAACTTCATAAGGGGTTTTGGGTGGACTTATAAACAGGGGATGGGAGGATTATGTCTTGGGGGAAGGGGTGGGGGCCAATAAGCAGTATGAAAAAAACATGGATTGTGGAACTAGTATTTTTTTTTATCTGGCTTGTCATTTTATACATGTATTTGGTTATAGCCAGGTTTATTAGGTCTTAGCTTTGCTTAGGGTTTTGATTTTTTGTCACTGAATTTAAAACAGGAAAGACAGGCACTATAAACTTGCTAAAACAGAGAACAATCGCAGTCCCATTAGGGATGGCAAGCCACCATCAGCTGCTGCAGCTGCCCTGGAGAGGACTGGGAGTGCAAGAAACAGTCCGCTTGCCGTCGCACTTTACAGTAGCATGGCCAAGTGAGTTTGTGCTTCAAATGTTATTTTCTTAATAGAAAGATTCATTTTCTGAGTTGCCAATGGTGCATGGCACATATTTCTGTGTACTCATGAAATCAAATTATAACTTTTTAATCTGCAGTAAACAGTTTATCATTGGTAAGTGTTTTTAATGAAACCTTTTAGTGTTCTATTTTCTTGCCCTTGGTGTTAAATGGATGGATGTTTTTAATTTAGCGATGTTTTCCTATCATTTTGCAAAAACAATGTTGCAGAGGCCTTGTGCACGTATTGTGGGCCTATACATGTAGTACAGTCAAACCTTCTGTGGGCAGACACCCTTGTTACTAGAGAAGTGTCTGGTTAGGAGAGATGAGAGGTTTTTGATTTGGCATTTTTTGTAGCTTAAAAATGGTGGCCATTACATTATGTTCTACTTTACTAGGTTATATCGTTGTTTTATAGATCTACACGTAAATCATGCTGTTCTTCATTGTGACTGTGTAAGCAGCCCAGTTGTTTTGCAGTTGCTGTACTAAGTTTATTATTATTTTTTTTTACATTTTACACTTTTATATTTTTTTCTTGTTTGATTATTGCAGTGATGCAGCAAATGAACCCATTCCACTAGAGTCTCACATCACAGAACTAACGGAACTTAAAGAGCAGGTATGTTTTGTAAAGGTGAACCAATAGATGAACGCAGATGTCTTTGGCTCTCCCTCTTTACATACAGTGTTTTAAATATTAACATAACCTGCAAATAACTGTCTACAAATAATCGTCATCTAATGCATACTGTCTAAATGTGTTTAGCTGCAAATAATATTCTGCTCATGTGTAATAATTTGTAGCCATGCTCTCAGGTGAAAAATGGCAGTTCACCTCCCTGAGTAGTCAGAGAGTGATTTAAATATGGAAACAAACTTGATGACAGAATGATAAAACAATCATTGAACTTGATTATCATAAAATGCCATGATTTGTCAGTGTCTTGCAAATCAATTATTTGCCTCTGCTCACCACTGACAAATCATGTGCAATATTTTGCTCAACCTCATCCAATGATTGCTAACTGTTGCAGTATGTCTGTGCTCTGAGACTTAATTGATGTGAACACCTACATGTATTTAAATACATGTAGATGACTTAAAGTTCGTGAGACTCATTATCACTCATTATTTAAATACTGTGTTAAACCAAATGAACATTGTCTTAGGTGGTAAATCTAAAGAAACAATTACAACAAAAAGAACAAGCATTAATTGAAAAGGAAAAAAAGGTAAGAAACGAGACTTTTGAGGGAGTAAATTTATAGGGAAATCTGTGATTGTCCAATTTAAAGTATGTTATATGTTCTTTTGTGGAAATTAAAATAGCTTCATTCTTTAATATAAACCTCGCAATTTTGGGGCTTTGGACAAATTTTTCAACAGGAGCTCAAACATGTCTGTACACGTATTAATGTACATGTTATTAATGTACATGTACATTGTAGACATGTAAGGATAATTTTACTACCTGGTAATAGTGTTCTTTCCCCCTCAAATAAAAAGTGTTTGATCAGGCACTGTTTCAAAGACTCTTTTTCAATGTGACCTGTATACCGCAGCAAGCTCTATACATTAAAACCTTATCTGTTACCTCAGTTACATACTTACATGTACAGTACTGTCGTGATACCAATTTCACCTGACGGTCTAAAATTGTATGTTTATTTTATTATTTTGACAAGCTCACTGAACTAAAAGCTGAAGCATGGGAGAAGGAAAAAGAACTCAGGCAGAAGATCAATCAAATACAGAAGGAACAAGCCGAGCGAATTGAAAATCTGCAGGTAAATAATTTTGTATACAGGTGTAGTTCAAAGCCAAGCTGGGCTTGGCTGGGGTCCCATCAAATTGACAGGGGTCATCATTGTACATTTAAGG